ACAGACAGACAGACAAAATTAAATTTAACTAAAAAAGTAAAGAAAAAAGGAATATGAATAGTAACCTGTAAAGTAGGACAGCATCTCGTCTATAAGAATCTCTGCTCTCTGGACTGGAAGATGATTGATCAGATGATAGACTTGGCAGAGATGAGGTTCTTCTTGCTACAACACGTTGTGTTCTGCATGCAAAACAAATTAAACCATTTACTAGCAACCAACCCGAAGATATTCTCTAATCATAGGGTACATCTAGCTTATGGTACAGTGCKAGAAAACCCGGGACACTTGTACGACAACATCGATAGATACACGAACTTTCTACTTCACATATTACACTCTTCGTCTTAAATGACTTCTAGTCTACTATAAATGAGAAGAACTTATATCAAGGATAGGACTAGAGGTCTTTCTTATTTTGCATGAATATGACGTGATTTAACAATTTGACATCAGTTTTTTTTCCTGTCCTCTTATTGACGATAAATTGCGTCATCACATTGACAAAGTAGATCCGGATCCGACGTAGCGCGCGCTGGTTGACGCTTTGTCTGTCTGTCCTCGTATTGATGATAAAAAAATAACCAATCAGCGCGCGATAAATACGTTATAAGTTGCTGTAAAATTTGGATTTTACGTTTAAAAAATTGACCATTCATGCATCTCTTGTTATATGATCTAAAATAGAGAACTTTGTCACTCCTTGTCAACAGACTCTTTCAGTTTCCAGTTCAGCCCACGTGTCATTCAGAGTATTTATTCCTTTCTTTAATAGTTGCGTAAGAATCGACATATGAATAGACCCCTCGCAGCACGTTGGAATGTAGCTCAATTTGGAGGACACAACAATAGGGTCCAATTCTCAGGAGATTGGAATTCTTTTGTTTTGTCCTCCATATTGAGCTCCTTTGACGTCACATGCAAGGGGTCTATATGAATACAAATCAAGCAAAGAATGTTATTTTGAAGATAAGGACACGTGGTCTGAAATGGGAAAACATTACGGTAAAAGGTCTTTTCCAAATTTCATGAGAATTGATGTTTGCACTCAAAGCCGAATAACTCCATGTTACGGTACCTATCGTCGCTSAATTCGACTCGAACAAAGTCTTCCATTTGCCGAACTGATTTTCTGGTTTCGCCTTTAGGAGATGTTATGCAGATCTGTGAGGGGATCGGGGCTGTTGCTGTTGGTATGTCGATTATTACTGGTTTGTCTACAGCCGGCTTAGTAGGTAGATTTGAAGTGATGTCCTCGGATCTGCAATTTAATGTATTTTTAAACAATTAATTTTGCAAGATCATTTTTTTGCAATATTCCTTACTAGAGCAAGGGAGAAGTTGACAAAAAAATCAACTTGTAAAATCCGATAATGGAACGAGGCTGGARTTTTGCCAGTATAAATACACAGAGGGCGGTGGACTTTGCAAATCATTCAATTCATTTTCAATCATTCCCGAGGGAGTGAAATAACAAAAGACACGGTGGCCATGTTGATTGACATAACAAAAGTATTCATTGACAATTCTGTTGTTAAGTGCAACCAAGATGGCAGCTATGACGTCTTGTCAAACGAAGAATAATACTGAAAAACCAAGTGGAGGAAAGCCTCTTGTAGAGGCAGAAACCTAATCAAGCTTTTGCTTTCTTTTTCTTTTYGTTTTTCGTCTTCAAWTTTAAACAACAGAATAGAYATCGAACATTGCTAGGACCGCAGATTTACACCCAGCCACCAATCATTCCTTCTTTCTATCGTCTTACCTTTCGCTTCCTGAGAGATCTGAAAGAAACTGACTTGAGAGTTTTGCATCATGGTACGTCATGGAAAACTCTTCTTGCATTCTCTTCTGCTTTCTTTACTCATCGGAAAAGAAAAAAACACAAATAAATAAATAACCAACGATTTATTTAGGACGTCCGAACGACCACCACACTACTAACAGACCAAGGGAGTAAAATGCAACAAAGTAAAACCACGGYGCTAAAAAGTCCGCCTAACCGACCGAAGGACGTACAGCTTTTATCAACCAAGCTACCAATGCATCCAATTAACCGTATTAAACCAAGCAGTTCACAGTCTCATCCTACTAAATCCACTGATCGACAGCTTATCGACAAAGCGACCATCCACTCCACCTTTCAAACGGCTTAGTGACAGCCTACCGACCAAGATGACTAATGCAAGCAATATAAGCAACTAACCATGACATACCATGGCCAAGCAGCTCACCATCCCACCCAAACGACAGCCAATCAATTAACGGATGGACCACTCATCAAATGCAACCAATCAACCAATCTCCATCCATCACAAGAATGACACTTAGAGTTACCGCCGTTTGCATTACTACGCGGCCACCCCAGACACAAATTGCGTCGTGTAGTTTGCAATAGATTGTCAATCAAACACCTCATWCTACTTAGATRTACTCAAACTCTTTGCAATCGCTTTCGGAACTTTCCTTYGTGATATCTGWYTGAGAAAGTTWGATAGAAAAGCCAACTCACTGATCCAAACGTGTATAAATGGCGTCAACATGAATGATTGACGGTAGTCTATTGCAAACTACACKACTCGATTTGTGTCTGGGGTGGCCGCGTAGCAATGCAAACGGCGGTAATGATTACTGCGCAACTCAGTCTGCCCATTTTACTAATATTCTTGTTGCATGTCTTAGTAAACTTACATTTTCTTGATCAAGCTTTTGAGGAAGAAGGCCAAAGCCATAAGTAGTCCAGAACCAATGAACAAAGCTATTACTACCCGATACACAATATTACGCCATGAAGATGAATTGCTTTCAGAACTATCGCTCTCATCTCCTCGGTATTTGAAGGCTATTACGTTGCTGAGTCGTGAGTTGTCGGAGTTTGATGGCAAGGGGATATTTGAACTCTCTAGCTGGTTAACTGTTTAAATAGAATAATGACAAGAATAAGACATCGGTCAGGAAGAATGTTTTCGTGAGAGCGAGAAACATAAGGTCCTGACCTCAAGTGCAGCACGTACACGGTACGACATGCTGTAACTTTGAAATGGCTTCCCACAAGAATGGTGCGACATGCTGTAATAACATCGAAATGGCTTTCCATAGCAATGGTTATCTCATAAGTAGGGAAAGTGCGGTACGCYTGCCAGCACGGAAACGGTACGACATGCCGAATGAGAATGATTGTCGCATGAGTTGGAAACATACGCCACTGACTTACAGAACATAAAGTACACTCTACGGCATGTATTTCATTGAAATTGTTTCCTATATATTGTCTTCCTAAATTCATCCAATCACAGTGTCTTATGGCTTAGGTAATTTACAGTATGACTATGAAAATCGGTTTCCTACTCATCGTGTTAAATTGTACCTTACCTTTCCTTGCTTGTCTATTGTCTAGTACACTGCTAACCGATTCAAAAGCACTGTCGTATATCTGTGCGTTACCTATTAGGAATGAAATTACGCTTATTCATATAGAACTCAGTTTTCATACTTCGAATCCTATAGTTTTTGTACCAGATTGATTCTAACATGGATTTGTTTATCAACCTGTCTACAACAACAACAACAACAACAACAACAACAACAACAACAACAAATCAAACAACTCGTCAATATAACAAACTTTGATCATAATTTTATTTCATACCTTCCAAGGCGCCGAAGCAAAGTGTATACAGAAATAAACACACGGCAGGAAAACTACGTCCCATTTTTGACAAACGATCCAGCAAAGACCGATCAACTGTTGTTATCCCTACATTTTGGTAAATTTTCCCAGTATTCTCGGCAAAGATATCATTTTCAGACAGCAAACGTACAAATATATCATTGTTGATTCCTTAATTAGAAGCGCGCGCGCTCATTGGTCATGTATAATTATCATTGATAATTGGCTTCCTAATTATCGGTGTCATTAGAGCGAATTCGTATATCGCACTTTTACATGCTAATGAATTTTGCTAATATTCAAATGAGCTGTTTTCGAACCAAATATATCCTTGCAAATACTCCCACAAAACTTAACCATTCCAAACCCCAAACATCGTATAAATGTATATGCTAACAAAATAAGTGTTTTAATTATCGATTTGTTAAATAATCTCTTTAGATATTTTCAAATGAACACAATTTCTGTGCCGAACTTCAGCTCAGTACAATAGAAACATAACAGGCGTTGTTTGTCATT